GCTTACTTTTTCAAATTAAAAAAAAAATGTTTTAGCACAGTAAGACATGCATATTTATACGCCAATGAGAGCTACTCAGCAAGGTCTTCCTTGACCATTAAGTTAGAACCCTCACCCCATACCCTCTCACATCACTTTGTTTTGTCTTCGGAGTACTTCTCTCACTCTCATTCACTTGTCTGTCTCCCCCCCCCCCCCCCACTAGATCCTAAACTCTTTGAGGGAAGGGGGTATGTTTTATTCACTGCTGTATTCAGAGCACGAAGAATAATGCCTGGCACCCACTAGGCTCAATCAGCATTTGACTGACTGAAATATCCCCCACATTTAATCAATCACTTGTAGATTCTACCTCCTCAATTCTCTCAAATCTTTGCCCACTGTTCTTGCTTCACAACTGACTCATATCTTGCTTAAATGACTGCCACAACCATCTCCAGTCCTATTCTATAGTCCATAGCCCAAATTGCAGCTAAAGTGATCCAAATCCTTCAATAGATTCCTACTGCCTTTAGGATTATGTCCAGATTCTTTAGCAAAGCATATAGAGCTCTCCATGATCTGGACCCTGGCTAATTCTAGTTTCAGCTTTTGCCAGCCCCTTCCATATGCACAATGCTCTAACCATCCCTAACTATTTATAGTCACATGCAAACTGCTTTACCTTTTCTGCTTCTACACCATGACAGCTGTGTTGCTGAGGACCTTTGGAGAAAAATCACACAATAAAGTAAATCGGTACCATTTTAAATAAACAGCCTTTAACCTCATTTGTGCATTGAACACCTATAACAATCCTTTTATGGATCCCATGTCAGCTCCAGCTCCCATTTCCATCATGACCATTAAAAAAAATATCAAAACACACTTCAACATTAATAGAAGGGTTTACAGTGAAAAAAATGCGCCCCTCCCCAACCCTACCTCACTCCTAGAGGTGTTAACAGTTTGAAGCGCAACATGCCAAATCTTTGTGAATATGCAAATGTGGATTTACATTCCTTTTGTCTCCTAAACAAGTGAAATTAAATGTCACCTACTATTCTAAGACTTATTTCTTCAAGAATATCTTTCCATATTAGCACATATAGATTTTCCTCATTCTTTTTCAACAGTTGCGTATTTTTTGACTGGATGTACCGTAATTCAACCTCTCTGCTACTAATGGACGTTTAGCAGGTTTCTGGTTTTTCATTCTCTCTCTCAGCAGTTCAACACTTTTATTCGAGCTCCCATCCCATTTTCACTTTTCTCACAAGGATGATTTTACCTATTCCACAGAGGAAACTGAAGCTATGAAGTGTGAATTCCTCCAACTTTCTATCTCCCTCATCTATAGGCTGATCTGTAACTCCAACTCCTTCGTTCCTTTGTCTGGGGGGGGGGGGAAATCTCTTCTCCTATAGGAGGAAATGCTATCTATGCTAACATTCCTTCCTGTTTTCACAGAGGTCTTTCCAACAATTATCTTCTCTTGCTTTTTTCCAACCCCTCCTTCTCTATTGCTTTCTCCCTTAAGCCTACATAAGCGTACTTATTTATTTATTTATTTATTTTAATTTTGGCTGCGCTTCGCAGGCTCCGCATGCAGGATCTTAATTCCCTGACCAGGAATCAAACCTGCGGCCCCTGCAGTGGAAGTGTAGAGTCTTAACCACTGGACAGCCAGGGAAGTCCCTATTTTTCTTCCATCTTAAGACTCTCCCCCTCTTTTATTCCTCACAGCCTAGCTTCTTGAAGGGGTAGTCTATGATCTCTCTTGTCACTTCCTCATCTTCCATCTGTCCCTCACCCTCCTGCTGGCTGGCTTCTAATCTCACTCTCTTGCTAGCTAAGGTCACCAGGGACCTCCTAGTTGCCAAACTCCAAAGCTCTCAGGCTTTTACTTTACTTCTCTGTGGTATTTATGCTAAGTCTTTTTTTTTCCTTTAAACCTCCTTCCTTGGTTTAAGAAATATCATTCTTCAAGTTTTCCTTCTATTTCTGACCACCCCTAAAAATTGGTCTATACCAGCATTCTGCCCTCCATACTCTTCTGACTCTACACAGGCTTCCTGTGTGATCTCACCTACTCCCAAGTTTGCACAAATCCTAAGCTTTCTACCTATCATAGTTTAAACACACATGCTCCCAACCGAACTTAGCTATTTCTCCTACCTTCCACCCTCAATCTGTTCAGTGAATGGCCATCACCATTTACCCAATCACCTAAGTCAGAAACCTAGATTCCACTTTTTTTTTTTTACTTTCCATTATCCAATCAGTCACCAAGAGGTACCTCTCATTTCACCCCTACTGCCAATGCCTCAGGCAGTTTTAAGTCTCCATCATCTCTCATCTGGCATCAGCCCACCCCAGCCCATCCGTTTTTCACACTGTGCCAGTGATCTAAGATGAGTATTTGATCCTGAGCCTTGTAATCACTACACTACATGTTTCCTATATTCCATCCATCCAGAACTACTTGTTGTTCCATGAACAGACCATGTACTTTCATGCCCCTAAGCATTCTGTTCCCTCTGCCTAGAATACTTCCCCCGCACTGACACCGGCAAACTCCTCCCTACTCTTCATGATCTATCTGAAGGGTTCCCCTCTATGAAGGCTCCTTATCCTTACTTCATAAGCAGAGTCGGTAACTCCTTATCACCATGAAACTTTGTAAATATTTATTGCAATGATCATTTCTTATTAAACTTATTTATATTTATGTGTCTACCACTCATTCTAGTGCCTGCCATCAGAAACTGTATCTTAATGTCTGTATCAGCATCTTAAGTGCCCTGCCATCAGAAACTGTATCTTAATGTCTGTATCAGCATCTAGCAGACTACTTGATAAAAATAGGTGGCTCGATAAATGCTGAATGAATGAATGAATACCATGTACCCATCCAATCAAGCTAAACCAAAATTCTGGAAGCCACCTTTCATTCTTCCTTCTCCACTCCCAAATGCCAACTGGTCATCAAGTCCTGTTGATTCTATCCCCTGAACAGTTCTCAAATTCATCCCCCTCCTCCCCATCTTAATGCCACACCCCTGGTTCAGGCTCCACTACCCCATACTTGAACTAGATTTGCCCCTCTCCAAACCACTCTCTGCACTAGTGCTGGAATTTTTTTAAATTTTTTTATTCCAAAAATCATACATTCTTGTAAAAAATTCAAATACAGAAATAAAAGCACAATACCCCACCCAGTATACACACAAGCATATAGCCCCCTCCCCTCCAATCCCACTCCCCAGAGGTTATCACTGCAAACAGTTTTGTGTATATCCTTTCAGACCTTTTCCTTTGCATATACACATAAACACATATAAATACACACACATGGTTTTTGTCATTTACAAAAATGGTATCACACTTGTTACATGATTGTTCAATTTTTCTTCATTTAATATACAGAAAATTTCTAAAACACAAATCTGATTATATCACTCCACTAGAGCGCCTCATTTCTCATAATATGAATTCATATGCATTAGCATCAAATTCAAAGCTCTTGACGATATGCTTCCTATCCATCTTTCAGTCTCATCTCTAGCCATTCCAGCATTTGAGGGACTGGAACATAAACCACCTTAAATCCTTTCTGGAACAAGGCAGGTACAAACAAACAAACAAACAAACAAACTAGGAACACACTCTGCCATTTCTGGAGTTCGGCCTTTTCACTTCATGTTACACTCTGCCTGGACTTTTCCATCTGGCAAGCTCCTACTAATTCTTCAACAATCAGCTTAAAAATTACCTCTAGGAAGACTTCCCTGACTTTTTCAGACATGATCACTCTTCTATTTTCCCCTATACTTTATATCTAGCTTCTTAATTGCACTTATCTCATAGTACTGTAATGATTTATTAACATCTTGAATTCCACTCCCCCTCCCCCAACTTGATGGTGATATTGTTCAGTGAAAGGAATGCGTCTTATTTAATTTTGCATCCCAAGGTTTTGATGGAATGCTTACCATGGAGCAGATGCTCAGTAACAAATCTGTTGAGGATTTTATGATTCTAGGAACATTTACTGAGTACCTACTCTGCACAGAACCATATCCTAAGCATAAAAAGAAACAGAAGACACAGTCTTTGCCCTAAGGAACTTACCATTTCCCTACCATTTCCCCTGGGGGGGAGGGACAGAACACATTTACATGGCAACATATCATTTCTAACATATAGGCTGTTTAAAAGATTTATAGTTATTTGCCTCCAATCCATTTAGGAACAAGGCATTGTATAATCAAATAAATAATAAAATAATGGGCAGCTCAGTTTGCCCAAGAGGTTTATGTTTTTAGTGTGGCATAGAGTCCACCAGAATCCAATTCTCTGTCCCAGCAGAGGGGCTGTCCCCTGTTCCAGCCTGCAAATTAGAAAACTGAGATGATACCATGCTTGGAAATTTTCTAATACATCAAGAGGACATAAAGTTATTAGTTCTTTCATGATTTCTCTTCTTTCCCCAGGAAAGAATGATACTAAGAGCAATAAATGGAGTTAAAGGGGGCACTGGAGAAGAAGATTATTCTCTGTTAGTGGTAGGGGGAAGGGGGTTGCTTGGTTTTAAATCAAAGGGTGGCACTGCCCCCAGGAAGATCAGGAGAGGTGATTTTTTATCATTTACTTACTTACTAATTTTTTTTTTTTTTTTTTGTGGTACGTGGGCCTCTGACTGTTGTGGTCTCTCTCATTGCGGAGCACAGGCTCCGGACGCGCAGGCTCAGCGGCCATGGCTCACGGGCCCAGCCGCTCCGCGGCATGTGGGATCTTCCCAGACCGGGGCATGAACCTGTGTCCCCTGCATCGGCAGGCGGACTCTCAACCACTGTGCCACCCGGGAAGCCCTTACTTACTAATTTTTAAAGCCTACGGTACTAGTTAATCTGGTGATTTCAAGATCAGACACTGTACAAATATAAACACATGGGGGAAAGGTGAACCACCTAGGCTGGAGAACAGGGAAGGCTGACCAAGGAGGCCCAAAGGAAGCCTCATTCATCAGAGTCCAAGTCACTGTCCCCAGCAATGGAGTGGAAATCCTCACTGTCCTCCTCGTCCTCTGACAGGTGGACCTGGCTTAGTACGCTCGGCCCAGAGCGCTGCTCTTCCTCCTCCTCATCTTCTTCCTCCTCTGATACCTCATACCCACCGATGCTGCTGAAGCTTGTGTCTTGGGTGTTCGACTTGGGATCAGGCTCCTCATAGCTCCCATAACTGAGAAGAGAAACATGTCATCTCTCAAGCTCGGACACCATCCTCTAGCTGACCAGTCCCGTTCTTGGTGCCACCAAGGGATCAGCCCATCTCACCTCCCCTGGACACTAAAATGATGGTTCTGGACTGTTCTACAGGTCCCTGAGAGAAAAATGATCCTACTCAAAAACATCAACTTGCCAACTTCATATACGCAAGAATCTGAATGAAAGAAACTCCCCTACACCTGAACAACACACTGCCAGCTTACATGACCATAAATGCTCTGAGAGTCTCATAGTTTCGTCTGCCATTTACAGCTTCACTTATCTACATATCCAATTAGTCAACAGTCCTGAAGATTCTACCTTTTCAATATATCTTGTCTCTATCCCCTCCTTTCCAGCCCTATTCTGCCTGCCTTGGCTTAGTCCTTTGTGATCCCTGGCCGCCTGCACCACTGAAATCAGTCTTCATGCCTCCAGTCTTGCTCTCCCCCAATTAATTCTTCACATTTCTGCCAGAGTGTTTATTTTTGTTTGTTTGTTTATTCTTAATTTTACTTAAAAAAAACAAGTACTGCACATTCACTGATTAAAAAAAATTAGAATATACACCAGAAAAAAAAAAAAACACACCAATAACTCTACCACCCAGAAATAATCTTTTGGTATATGACCTTCCAAATTTTTTCTATGCATTTCACTTTGATGCTTAAACATTTTCTTTTTAGTTACAAAATTGGAATACTCTACATACTCTTCAGGAATCTGCTTTTTCACTAATGTTTATAATGAACATCTTTCCATGTCAATAAACATACATCTATAGCATCATTTTAATAGCTGCATGGTATTCCACTGTACGGCTGTAACAGGATTTATTTCACAGTCTCTCACTAGAACATTTAAGCTGTCTTCAATTTTCCCACTATTAGAAACAATGCTGTGATAAACATCCTTGTACAAACATCTTGATGAAGGTATTTTATTGTTCCCATGGAATAACTTCCTAGATACGGAATGTGAGGGCCAAAGAGGATGCATGCTTTTTAAGTTTCTGATTTATAATGATAAATTGCTGTATCTCTCACCTACCCCTTTCAATTTACATTATCAACCAGTCATTTCAGAATGTCTTTTTCCTCATGCCTTTTCCAACACTGGGCATTATCATTCATTTTAATCTTTGCCCATCTTATAGGTAAAAAAATTGCATTTCATTGTTTTATTGCATTTCTTTCTTAGGGCAGCTGATTTTTCATATATTTATTGGCCATTTGCATTTCTTTTGTAAACTGTTAATTCACGGCTTTTGCCCATCTTTCTTTTGGGGCACAGAGCAACCTTTCCAAAATACAGATCTGATCATACTACGCTCATTCAATGTCTGCCCCAAATTTTCAGACCCTTCATGATTTGGTCCTTACCTACTTCTTTAAAGTGTCTCTATTACACGGATCATGATTAAAACCTCTAGCCACACTGAGCTACTTGCATTCTCTAGAAGTGTTTCATGTCTCTGTGTCGTCATACATGCTGTTCTTAGTCTCTGGAATGTCCTTCACTTTCCTTTTCATTTAGCTGATTCCTATTCTGATTCAGCTCAGTTTCTCTAACCAGCTCCCCTACTCCACTCCTACCCAAGTCCCAGAAAAATCCTGTCGTTGCCTATCAGAGCACTTTTCTTGTGACACTGTGATCATCATCTGTTTGCCTGTTTTAGATTTCCCACTAGACTGAACTCCTTGAAGCAAGGACAACATCCTTACTTTTGTACTTGTAAATATTTGCTGGATGAATAGACTCTTAACTGCTTGCTGGATACCTGTGGCTTAGATGTATCATATGTACCTTAAATCCAACATGTCCACAGACAAATTCATTTTTTGCCTCCTTTCCCACTCCATCTAATACCTGTTTTTCCTCTTTCTTCTCTCAGTGACATTCCCCTTCATTATATATCTAATCTCCTTACCTCCTAAATCCAATTGATCTACCCTCTGAACAGCTCTTGAATATGTCCCTTCCCTTTCTTCCACTCCTAACAGATTCTAGCTGAATTCCTTATCACTGCCCTAGAGTTATTTAACACACAAATTTGATGTTACTTTCTTTTCCTTAAAGTGATGATTCCCATTAACCACAATCCAAATGTCTTAGCATACCAGTTAAGGTCCTCTACAGTATAATCCCTTGCTAATTCTACAGTCACAACGCCCAGCAACCTCCCTTCTGTCTGGAATTTACTTTGCTATATTTCTGTGCCTTTGAACATACTGTTCCATCTCTAAGGATCTCACCTGCTGCCACTTATCTACTTAGTAGACTCCTATTCATCCTGTAAGGCCCAGTTCAAATGTTCCCTCATCTGTGACACTTTCCCTGATTACTCCAAGCAGAGCGAGATACTCCCTCCTCAGTGGTGACTTGGCACTTTGTACTTAACCTATGCTATGTAGCTCTTATCACACTGTATTTGTAATAATTTTGTTGTATCAGTCTCTTCCACTAGACTGTGAGCTCTTCAAGGGCAGGATATGTCTTGCTCCTCTGTGTATCCCCAAGGGATACACAGTGCCTGGCCCTAGTAGGTGCTCAGGAAATGTTTGATGGATGAAAGTAATCTGATGCTGGGCCCTCTGACATCATAGCTGGGCACTGATGCCACAGCCCTGTAGCGTGTTGCTACCGATTACCTGATGTTGCTATCCTCCAAACCATGAGAAGCCTCCCCACCGTCTCCCTCATAGGACATCATGCTTTCTTCATTTTCCATGCCCATCCTTGTGTTCTCCTGAAGCATGCGGGGCTGTTTGGGTCTTATCCCACCAGATCCCACATCAGAGTCACTTCCACTTTCACTCAGCTGGATAGCTGTGAAAAGAGACAGATCTTGAGATAAGTTTGACAAAGAATTAACATCATTGGCTTAGTCTTCTAGAACTAGTTAATCCCATGCATCTACAGAGGCATCTTGCCTGGACTCCTCACCTCAGAGGATTGCCTAGGGTCAACATTGACAAGATCTGTAGTTTGGAAAGAGAATTAAAAAATCATTTCCTTTTCCCATTTCAGTGCTATCTGTTCTTTTCCCCCACATCATCTCCTCCTATACTCATCCCTTGCCATTGCCATTAATCCACAAAAAAATCCCAAAGCAGGATCTTTTTTCTACATTTTCCTTCCCTATTGCCACATATAACACTTCTATTTCGTTTTTATCAAGTATTCAAATCAAAACTGCTGCTCTGGCATTGCCTTTTTGACTGTCATCTTTTGTACCTCCTGTGTTGTATTTTTTCACCTCTTCTAAGACTAATGAATTTGATCAGCCTATGAGTGAGTGCTCAGTACCCTGAGGTCTACTAATGGGACTTCAATAAAAGAGCAGTTTCTGGTAACAGCATATGTGGCCCAGAGCTTCCTCCCAAGTCCCGAGGGTGCCATGGTGAGCTACGTACCAGAGAAAGGGTTATCTCCTTCTTCATCACTGCCGGCATCTTCCTCATCATCTTCTCCTTCAGACATAAGCAAATCCTCATACAGGACACTGGCTTGAGGCTGTTGCACAGTTCCCTCCTCTTCATCTGCAAGATCACCATCTGCATCTTCACCTTCCTAAACGAGACCAGTTGAGGATCAAAGATCCATTAATCGACCAAGTAAAAGACCAGAAGCCACCACCAGCCACACCCACCTTGCTGCCTTACAAGAAGTTACATAATTTTGGTGGATAGATTTGTTTAGCTGGTTCTTAAAGTCAGATTGGGCCTCACTATGGAGACCTTCTGATAGCGCCTGGGGATTTGGCCTGTCCTGTACTACTGGGGCTCCTACCATATAAGGGTATAATGTAACCATAAGCTTTCTGTAAGCATACTCACTGGGGCTGGAGTCTTAGGTTTCCCATCCTCCTCATCATCATACCCTTCAATATCTACATCAGAGTCTTCCTCGCCCAGCCTACCTCGGCCCTGGCGCATCTGAGTAAGGAACACAAATAGCACATCATTGAGGGACGTGCCAGTAGGAGGAGTTAACCAAGGGCTCTCACTCAGGACCGATGCTCCTCCCTGATATCCCAGCCAACCCCACAGCTAGTGGGGGCTGTTTACACAGCTCAAGGCATGTGCATTTTCCCCCATTTATTCTTTGGAAATCACAGGTAGGGTTAAAAAAAAAAAAAAAACCCAAAGAACAGGAAGGCCTTGGTCTACTATTACTGTATCACCACAAGGAGACTCCTCCTTTCTAAACCAAGCTTTCCCTAGCTTGTGTTGGACTCTTTGGGACAGAAAAACCCTCCTGGATTTTGCACTCTCCAGTGGAACCCTGACTGAGATCAGCTGATAAGATTTCTGGATTCAGATCAGGAGTATCTGCTGATACCTCAAGAAAAGGCCAACTTAAAAAACTTAATTCTAAAAATAACTTTAATTTAGATAACTCATATACAGTAAAGTAGCAGGGCAATTATTTTGAACTCTGTCTCTGAATGCAGTTGGTCTTTCTAGTCACCTGTCAGGCTGCTGTGATGCCTCACACATTTTTTTGTACCTTTCCTTAAGTTCTGCTATGCCTGACTCTGCCCATGGTGACAGATAGAAGACAATGCCAGTCATGCAACCTGCCACCGTCCCACCTTGAAATCACATTTCCAGGCCTTCATTCCCAGGGCCAAGGGGTCCAATCATCATCCTTGACACATGCCCACACATCACCACCATCACCCCCCCACTGCCACCCCCAAGCATACTACCAATCTCACAAAGAGAAAAAGAATATCCTACCTGTGTCACCTGCTTTTCTGGAGTGGCAGTGGGAATATCCAGGACAGACATATTGCTTTCATCTTGAAATACAGAGGCATCTCGAGACATACTGAGGGATGTGTTGGTATCATACAAGTCAGGAGGCTGTGGCACAAATCATACAACTTAGCTTCTATTTAGTAAAGGGAGCAAGAAATACAGAGAACTCCCCTTTAGAGCATTCACTGCAGAAAAAGGTCATGCAGAACAATCCATTTAAAGAGAAAACATAGTTTTGACATAGTTTTATGGACAGGTTTTTGGGAATCTCACAAATGTTGCTCATTCTAGCAGAGAGGCATCTGATGTATATGATCAGAAGCCTGAAGCAGAAAAGCATCAAAGCTATGGGACAATTCTATGTCCTAAAAGCCTTTATGGTCAATAACCTAATTTCTTCTAAGCCTTGTCTTATTGTTTTTAGGCCCAGGGCTTCATACCAGTGCCATTTGGATTGTTTGGTTTAGAGACATCTAATAGAAAATGGGATAAAGAAATTTCAGTTCTAACCAGATCATGGAATGGGGTAAGAGCTTATGAGCTTACCAGAGGATGCTACGAGGCAAAATGGCATGGTGAAAAACCATGGACTTTGGAGTAAACTGCCCTGGGTTTGAGTCCTGGCTCTACCATTTGCTAGCTGAGTAACTTTAACAAATTACTTAATTTCTCTGCCTTGATTTCCTCAACTGTGAAACACAGATGATAATGTCTACCTCACAAGGTTGTTTGGGAGAATTAAGAGATGTGTATATGCTCCTTACCCAATGCTTGGTAGTCAACAAATCATAGCTTCCTTCCTTCTTCCCTCTCCTGAAGAGAACAGGGGTTTAACAAACGGTCTATTCAGTGAAAGGAGGGCAGGGGGACTAAAAAAGAACAGGCTGGAAAAGTAGGAAAGCATTCTCTAAAAAGCTAGCTGAGGGTAGAAATATTATGTGGCTATTAAAAATGTTTTCAAAGACTATTTAATGAAATAAAATGCTCATGATATAATGTGAAGTGAAAACAAGACAAAATCATAATGACCAATTTCACTTTAAAAATGTGTCTGTAGGGCTTCCCTGGTGGCACAGTGGTTGAGGAGGGGACACAGGTTCGTGCCCCGGTCCGGGAAGATCCCACATGCCGCGGAGTGGCTGGGCCCGTGAGCCATGGCCACTGAGCCTGCACGTCCAGAGCCTGTGCTCTGCAACAGGAGAGGCCACAACAGTGAGAGGCCCACATACCGCAAAAAAAAAGTGTCTATAAATGCACACGTACACACATTACAGATTTGAAACACGCCAAAATGTTCACAGCGGTTGATTCTTTCTGACTGGTGGACTTGATTTGAGAGGCCCAACCGCAAAAAAAAAGTGTCTATAAATGCACACGTACACACATTACAGATTTGAAACACGCCAAAATGTTCACAGCGGTTGATTCTTTCTGACTGGTGGACTTGATTTTAGGTAACTTATTTATTCTGTATATTTTCCAATGTGTCCCAATGAACATGTTACTTTTATCAACAAAAAACCCACATGTGTTACTTTGCTGTTGGTTTTGTTGTTGTTGTTTTTAAAGCAAACAAACAAGGCTGATTGGGAACGGGGTTTTGGAGAAAGAGAGGCAAAACAGATTTCAAAGCATTACACTGCAAATAAACTAGTTGTGGAACAAAAGAAGAGAAAAATCAGGGAATGAAACGCTATGTGGGAAAACGTAAAGCAAGCAATTTTAGAGAAAGTGTTAAGCTGAATGTATGGTGCGATACAAGCTGGGTAGAAATAGTTGAGTGAAAATACATTATTGATTATCACCATTTAGAGCTGGAAGTAAAGTAAGATTACTGTCATGTTTCTACACAACAAAATTGTATTATGACAGGTTAAACTTACACAAACACTTTAATAGCATTTGGGTTTGAGAGTAGTTATGAGTAAGGACAATCACTCATGCGCATCTTCCTCAGGTTTAGAAATAATGCACTGGGCTTTCTAATTTAAAACGTGTATATATGAGTGAAGGCAATGATCAGAGAGTGAACTGGAATAATGAAGAGGCAATACCTACACCCTACTCCTCACAGGAGATCCTCTTAACTGCACAAAACAACAGCTACTGCTCTGGCGGAAGAACAGTGGCCAGGTTTTCCTCCACCATTTGAGATAGTGTGGGAGGGGAAGGGAAGAAAGGAAGATGGCTTCTGGGTCTAAGGCTCTGACTCACCAAAGGGCTAGCCTTAGGCTGTCATAGAGCAGAGCAAACACGCCACTCAGTAGTTAGACTCTCCTGGGGAATGATGGCTACAACCCAGGCTTTAACTTACCACAAAGGGTCTTGTGGAAGCTGTGGGCCTATTAGCAAATAGGACCTTCCTGGGCAACATCACTCACCCAAGCCCCCTTGACCCAATCTGCCCACACACTCCAAGAGCCTTTCCTTGTTCTGGGCCTGGAAGACGTATCTTAGGGCTCTTTATACTTGGCCCTTCAGTGGCCTAGGTTTTGGGGTGAAAAAGAGAGTAAAAGATAGATAAGGAGGGTGCATGAATGAGATATAGACAGCAATTATCCAACAGAGATCACACAGGTTGCATTATTAGTTCAGAGTGAAACCTGAGCAGAATGGAAAAACGTTTTCCAGTGGGAATTGGGAGAAATATGCATTAGAATATTTGGTTAAATTTGAAAGGGCCTCTGAGAACCCTGTAGGTGACTTTCATACAGATAAGGAAATAAACATTTCCTGAATGTCTACTATGTGCTGGGCAAATGACCTTGTTTAATGTTTACAACAATCTTGAAAAGTACATTTTAGAGAAATGGAAACTGGATTAGAGGGGTTAAGTTAACTTCCCAAGTTCACAAAGCTAGATAGCAGCAGAGCTAAGACTCAAACCCAGGACTGTTTTATACCAACCTTCATGTACTTTCCACTTTACCATAGTGCCTCCAATACAGTTATATTCTGGTAAGTCTTATTATTCAAATATACCAGCCCTCTAGGAGTATAGTATAGATGAAAGAGACTCTTAAGTATACTCAAGGGTCAGATCAGAAAGACTAAAAATTTCTTATTAATCTTGCTCTAGTCTTTCACATGAAAATTTAAAACATTACCTGTCTTCATTTATAGGGAGAGCGAGTCAATCCAGGAAAATGGGTGACATCTGAGCTACACTGAGATATCTCAGAGGGAACGAGTAATCAGGCATCTATAAGGCACAGGAACAATGTGGCCCATGTCTATATTCTAGGGATGTCCTAGAACCCCAATGCATGAGGCAAGGGAGCCCCAGAGACTCAAGAGAATGCCTCTGGCCATGGTAGTCAGGAATCTGGTATTCCTAAATACTGCCTAAACAACTAAGACCCCACCCCGTTCATTCATCCCGTATCTGTTTCTTCTGGATTCAACAAGGCTACCAAGACCCACGGCCCTCACTCACCTTAGCCTTTGAGAAGACAAGAAAGCACACGAAAGGCATATGAAGAGGAAGGACAGAGAAGAAGGGTATCTCAGTAAATACATCTGTTAACATGCTCCCAAGTTCCCAAACCAAAAAGAAAACTGTAAGAGGAAGCTTCTAGTCCTCAGACTCACCTGAGGTGTGTAAGGCCCTGGGGTCATTGGGTCCAAGCTTTCTAATTCTGCTTCCTCCAAAGCTGCTTCTTTAGCTGTGCAAATATCCTTCTCAAGTTGAGTCAAATGCTCATCATACTGAGAAATAAAGAAAATTAGTGAATTCATTCAACATTTGTTTTAGACACTGGGGATACAAAATTGTAAAAAGAGCAAATGAAAATCCCTGTCTTCAAGGAGCTTCTATTCTAGTGGCAGGACACATATGGTAATTAAAGTAAATAATTACATAGTTTATTAAAAACATTTAGTGCTAGGTAAGAAAATAAAGCAGGGAAGGAAATAAGGGATGTGGGCTGAGGTTTGGGATGGGATATTACATTTTAAAACAGGATAGGCAGAGAAGGCCTCCTCATCACTCTAGGGAACAAAGGGATTCCAGAAAGCTAGATCCTAAGGGGACCTCCTCTTTACCACTTACCTCAGTCAATGTCTGGTAACAGACATTCACAATCTCCTGAGCAGTCTTGGTATACTGACTTTCAGGCCCTAAAAATGAAAAGAGAATGCCATTACCTTTGCAGACTTCAGTTCCAGAAATTTACATTCTGTCACCAGCGGTAGTGTCCCATTATCCTAGATCCAAAGAATCATGCTTCAGCTTTAACTTGGACTCTTGCTCTACTTTTGGAGGTAGAAAATTTCGAACACATACAAAAATAGAGACACTAATAAAATGAACTCCCATGTACCCATTACTCAGTGTCAATGATTATCAATACATGGTCAACCGTTTCATTTACACCAACTTTGACACTTCCCAAATCATTCTGAGGCAAATTGCAGCATTTCATTTCATCCATAAATTGTTCAGTATGTGTCTTTAAGGAATCTAAAAAAAGAACTATGTATGATACTATCAGAGTGAACCCTAATGTAAACTATGGACTTTGGGTGATAATGATGTGTCAATGTAGGTTCATTGATTGTAACAAATGTACCACCTTAGTGGGGGACGTTGATAACAGGGGAGGCTGAGCATGTGTAGGGGCACAGGGTATATGGGGACTCTCTATACCTTCTGCTCAATTTTGCTCTAAACTGCTCTAAAAAATGAAGTCTATTTAAAAAAACCAAACAACTATATTATACCTAAAATAGTTAACAGTAATTCTTTAATATTATTAAACAGCCAGTCAACATTCAAATTTCCCCAACTGTTTTACAAATGTTCTTTTACATTTGATTTTTTGGAATCATAACCCAAATAAGGTCCACACACTGCATTTGACTGATGTAAGACACTTTAATCTATTAGGTGATTCTTAACCAAACTACACAGCTCCCCATACAGTTTTTGTCACAAGTTGCAAACTGGTGGCTTGCAGGTCAATCCAATTTTATTTGGCTCACAAAAAAATCAGTTCAGGTGGTGATCGTTTCATAATGTGCAGAAATGTCAAATCATTGTATTGTACACCTAAAACTAACATACTGTTGTAGGTCAATTATACTTCAATTAAAAAAAAATCACTTCAGTTTGTGAAAATGGATTGAGCTGTGCACTCATAATATATACACTTTTCTGTATGTAAACTATACCTCAATAAAAAGTTAAAAAAAAATCGTAGTTGCAACATTCAACAATCAAGAGATTTCATATAAAAACCCAAATGTCTGGCTTCTCTTAAAAAAGTAAAAGATGTGGCAACACAGGGTTAGCATTCTCATAATGCACCGATGGGCTGGATCTGAGTAGCAGCTGTCCCTTTTAGATAAGGCATGTGTTTCCCAGGTTACCTTGGTCCCTACCAGGTCTGCTTAACTCATTTACGCCTGGACCCTGAAGGCATCTGAGTTTTTACTCCCTGCCTTAAGTGCTTTATAATATTCTTTAACATATTGTTCATTCACCTAATCATTCATAAAACATTTTTGAGTACCTTCTAGGTGCCAGGCACTAGACACAGAAAGGAGTAAGATATAGACCATATCCTCAAGAAGTTATGGTCTAGCACAGTCAGACTATAAACAAATGGGGCAATACAATGCAGTGAAAAAATCTATACAGGGCTCAGTAGAGGCATAGAGGAGGAAGTGGCCAATTCTGGGATGTAAGAAGGAAAGCAGAATTAGGAAAGGCTTCACAGAGGAGGTGATGCTTGAATTAAATGTACTACTTATCAGGATGTAAAGGATAAAAAATATACCACATGTGAAGTTTTCATGCCGTAACTACTCTATTGCAAGCTATTATACAAATAAGTCTCCTTCATTTAAAATCTCTCACAATCATAGGTCATCTGTTCTTTTATTTATTTATTTATTAATTTATGGCTGCGTTGGGTCTTCGTTGCTGCATGCGGGCTTTCTCTAGTTGCGGTGAGCAGCGGGCTGCTCTCTTCGTTGTGGTGCGCAGGCTTCTCATTGCCGTGGCTTCTCTTGTTGCGGAGCACGAGCTCTAGGCGCGCGGGCTTCAGTAACTGTGGCACTCAGGCTCAGTAGTTGTGGCTTGTGGGCTCTAGAGCGCAGGCTCAGTAGTTGTGGCGCACAGGCTTAGTTGCTCCATGGCATGTGGGATCTTCCTGGACCAGGGCACGAACCCGTGTCCCCTGCACTGGCAGGCAGATTCTTAACCACTGAGCCACCAGGGAAGTCCCAGGTCATCTATTCTTTATAAAAGATAAGTAAAGTTGTGTCCTCACACAAGCTGACTGTACCAAACACAAACCAGAAAGAAAACGCAGTCAACCAAAAGATATTCAGGACATGTATAAAGGTAGCCAGAGCTGGCTCACAGTCAAGAACAGTCTGAGTGATAAGAAGACAGAAGCTGAAGTTTCTGACTTCTAATCTTCTAGGGCCACCAGTAGGTTGGTCCTCAAAGTCCTGATGGACACAGACTGCAAAAGTTATCAGACAAGCTTTCATGTTGATAGAAATGCATGATGTTAGAGAAAACAGGCTGCATACAGGTTAGAGCCCTCCTTCACCAGGCCAGTACAACATCAGCTTACTGCAGTATCCTGGCTTTTATACCTACCTACCTGACTCATCCCTCAAACTCCAGCCTATAGAATAAGAATTCAGCTCTTCAGTTTTGAAACCTAAACATACACCAACCCTTTCAATATCTCAGTGCTCTCATAATACAAGGAAAAATTAGTTTATACATTTGCAAAGTTTTCTCTTACTTTAAACCATCTAAAAGATGTGACCTCGGGCTTCCCTGGTGGCGCAGTGGTTGGGAGTCCGCCTGCCAGTGCAGGGGACACGGG